ATCTATTATTTTCATACAATGTTTAAATAACTTTCATAAACATTCTCTCATTTGATTATTTTGTGTGTACTATACACACACCTACAGAAAAGAGTAAGATTATGATATTGTATTTTTCTTAAGTCCTTCATAGTTTACTAAATAACATGTTTAATATATTATCTCATTACATCTCCACAAAGTAAATATTTTTAGCTCACTTTATAAATAAGGAAATTGGGGTCCATGGAGAGTAAACGATTAACTAAAATCTGCAGGACTCAAACCCGGGATTGTTTTGTGTATGTGTTTGTTTGTGTGTATTCCTTCATTCTTTCCACTCTGCCTTAATTTTTTCATTTCCCTTAAAAAGTGTAGCTAAGATATAAGTTGATAGAAGAACTAAAGCAAGTGGAGATTGTCTTGTTTCTATTAATGGTCTGGCCTCTCTTTATCTGTGACTCTCTTTCCTCAGCTGCAATAAAAAGTAATAACAATACCTATATCATGAGAATGAAATAAATTAATATAAATTAGGTAGTACATGACATATAGCAAGGGCTCAATTAGTATCAGCTATAATTATTACTACAACACCTACATAATAATGCTCAGAGTAAACCCAATGTGTAGATTACCATGGAGAACTTTCTAGGGAAGGTGACCATCAAGAAAAGTTTGGAAGAAAGTGATAGTCAGGTTAGGAATAATGGATGAAAAGAGGTGAACTGTTCCAGATGGGCTAGTATGAAGATGAGTAAATGCACAAAGGATGAGGTAAGATATGCATATTGAAGAACCACAATCTCTCTCTTTCCTTGAGAAAGAGTTAACTGGAGGAGGAACAATGAGAGATGAACTATCCAAATTGGGAAATTGGGGAGGGCTTTAAAGGCAAGGCTGAGGAATTTAGATTTGATTTATTCATATATTCTTTTCAGTTAGTCATTCAACCAACATTTGTTGAAAACCAGTTATGTGTGGTTATGCCACCTGAAAATGCACAGCCCTACCCTGAGGAAGCTTAGTGTAGTTTTACATGATAGGAGATGGAAAGGGTCCTATATCAGATAGGAATTATAAAAATGGTGTTTGAGGGAGCAGATATTGGTAGTCCTGTGTAGCAGGATAAGTGCAGTAAAACATTGGAGGGCATGAAATCAGTAAGAGACTAGTATAGCCATTCATGAATGAGGACCTTGAGTGTAGTGAGGTCTATATGGAAGAGGAAGAGAGTGGGGTTGAATTCAGGAGGGCAAAATGAAAGACTCTGGCTTTGTGTAACATATTTTATGNAAAGAGATCTGTTAAAGCCTTATTTTTCTTGTTTTCTATTTTTATTAAATATAATGTATTTTATGTTGATTTTTGATGCATATAATAATCTGAACTAATAATTAGATTTTTTGTTTAGCTCAGCTGTAACTTCTGTTTTTTTTGTTTTACCTTTAGTTTGTGAACCTTGCACTGAACCTATTCCACTTTGTACTGATGGGGAATTTCTCACTGTGGATCTTAATACCACAGACTCCTGTTGTCCTCGGTATTACTGTGGTAAGTATATTTTAACTAATTTAAAATATTTAGATGTGTCCAATGTTTAAGACTTCAGTTGAATTCTAGCACATAAAATACATATTAAATATATGTAATGTTTTCATACCTCTGAGAGCTCATCTTGGATAGTGTCATTACCTCCCCCAAAATAGATTAGCTGTGACTTGTCTGATCATCCTAGAATTTCTAGATATCCAGGTAATTCCATAACCTCTTTACTTCCTTTCTTTTCTTGTACTCCAGCCATTTCTCAGGGCTCTTCACCTGATAAGCTGTCCTAGTTCTACTACTGTTGTTTGTCTTATGAATCATTTGCTTGTTCTCATACATGGCAATTGGGCAGTGGGAGAGGAAGCACTGGGGAGATATGAGTTCATGCATTACACTAGCAATGGCAGTGAACTAAATGGTGGGTAGCAAAAACTAGCAGTTACATGAAGTTAATCTTTACCCATGTATTTTTTCTATTTAGTTTGTGAGCCAAATCTTTGTCCTACACCACTACTCAACTGTGCAGAAGATATGAATCTTGTGAAAAAAAATGTATCTGGTCAATGTTGTCCAATATGGCATTGTGGTAATTAATCTCCATATTTTAAAGTTTTATTACAATATGTTAATGTATTCTGATCAATATAAATTTGTTGGTTTTTGCCTTTTAGAATGTAGCTGTGAAAAACTTGTTATGCCAACCTGTGAAGTGGTAAGAACACATATTTTGATTGACTTGTCATATAATTTAAATCACTTTATTCTTCCTTTATCTCTCTCATTTCTGAATTCTTCTTGGAGTTAATGGAATTATCCTCATTAAGTTGTACTGAAGTAGATTTTAAA